TGCCCCTGCTAGCATGTGGCAGCGAGACGCAGAGCACCTTGCTTTGAAGTTCACCACCTTGCCTTAGATTTAAAGGATTTGTTTTTAAGAGCAGCAGTGGTCACCTCTCCCTCTTCTCTTCCCCCTGCCTGAACACTGCTAGACCTTGCCATGCTGGGAACACTGATAACTCTTGGCATAAATATGGATATATACTACTTGGCAGGGGAAAATGGAGTCTGACAGGGAAGATGAACAGTTCATTTGCCTTCTGAATTTAATCATGTTTCCTTCACTTGAGAATTAGCTGTAACCTAGTTTCCAGAAGATTCGTGCATCCAAAAAGATGCAATGTCAACAGCAATACATTCTCCTTGTTGAATCACATGAAATGGAAGTACAAGAGACTGCACATTAACAGTAAAAAGAATCAAGACACCTTTGAGATAAATAACAAAAACAGATTCTGCTGAACAGCTTTTTAAGAAGAGCATGAGTTTTGAAGAAAAAAAAATCGGTAATGCTGCTGTACAGACAATACCACTGGGACTAGTGTAATTGCAGGTAAACAGGAATTCGTAAAGACCTAGGAATAACAATGTAGCAGAGACAGCCCTTGGTACAAGAACAACCATTTCTTCTCCTGCCCCCTAAACAAACAACCAGCCACCAAATCAACACTCGCTGGGTTCTATTTTAGACTCAGTAAATAGTAAGGACGTTATGGAAAAGTTGATCCTACAAAACAGCCTTGAATAGAGCAAACATACCATAATTTTGTTAATAATTAAATGGCACAAGATAACACCTGAATATTAAAAGGACAAACACTAAGGAAACTGGCCGGTAGAGCTGCTGAAACATGATCAGCCACTTGAACTGGGAGGAAGCCTCCAATTCAATTTCACTCAGTCAGAAATGCTAAAACTACAAAGGAGAAGCATCCTACACAAGGAGAAAGTAGCAGAAGCTCCTGCAGACTCCTCCAGACCTAAACACATTAGGAGACATTAAAAACAAGCAGGCAGGGCATGGAGACGAAGTAGATGAAAGCTGTAATTGAAAATTACTTAAAAAACACTGCATCAGGCACACTGAAAACAAACATTAGAAAAATGCTTTCCTTCCATATAGAGGAAAATTCTCATTTCGTCATCAGTCTGGGTTACGGACCAAGGCTAATTTAAGATTATTCTTGGCTAATTAAGCAACATAATGGCTTAGCAAAAATGACAACTGAATGCCACTAAAAAGGTGTTTCCAATAGAAGTGCAAGCAGTGCCACAAGGCAAAAGAATACGGGATAATCACCTAGGAATAATTCTGCTCACTCACTTCCTAGAATGATAAATTAAACTGGAAAAAAAGGACACAGAAATTAGATTGACCACAGGAATGGAAAGCCTATTTCATCAAAGAACAGGAGAAATATAAACACAGTTTGTTTCAAATAAACAAATCCAAAACTGAAAGGCAATATGATTCCTGTCAATTAATAATTAATAGATCACTTAACAGCAGAAAGAAAAAAGTATTTGGGATGCAGGATCATATTTATATGGGAACAATTTTGTTTACAGATGTATGTGCATATATTTTATACATTGTATATACTCATATATATATAACACACACACACACACACACACACAGAGTCAATCAATTAATTTAAATTAGTGCCAGTTTTATGTTACAATTGGAAAGCTATTTCAAAACTCCACAGCACGAATGGAGAGGGAGGGATTACAATCTAACAGTACTTGAAAAAGAAACCAGACCCAACCTGGAAAGTCTCCTCTGTTCTTGTAATCTAGATTTTGTACAAATCAAAGTCTCAAGTCAAATCAAAGTCGCAAAAAAGATGTGGACCACATAGCAATTTTCCCACTCCATAATGTACAACTATGGATGTATAGGTGTTCAAAAAGAACAGAATGAAAAGTCTCTGTCTTTACTTTGGGAGATGAAACCATTTCTTCTTTTTCTTATTTTCTCCCTTTCTAAATTAAGCAACTATTATTAAAAGCAATTTTCAAGCATTTTAAAAATTGCTGAAACAGTGTTGAAATTTTCCCTAAATTTTACTAATTCTAACTAACTCTGATTAAGAGACTACTATACCAGTCATTTTACATGTCCCTGCTCCAGAACTAACACAACCTAACTGATTCAGAAAGCACCTCCTTTTTTAAAGAACGGGATGCCATCTCACCAGTAGTGGGAAGAAGTCATAGGTGGCATCTGTACTTTTTGGTGCTCCCCAACACTCCCCCAAAATACATCTACCTAAAAATTAAAGCCCTCGAGAGTTTCTATTAACCCCTAAACTTGTCACAAACACGACTGCCAATGGTGCTGTACTTACATACATCCATGTGCAATGGGACCCAACCCGAGTTGGTCAGAGCTTCTGAGGGAGATACAGTTGTCTGTGTTACAGCATCTCCCCCTGTTCCCCAGGCTTTTAAAATTCTGCATATTAAAACAAATTTCACTTTTTCAAAAAAAACCTACTATGTAAAGTGAACATAACATAGACTAGAAACAAAAAGGGTTTATAAACAAACACTTCTCAGGTTTTTTTTTTATTCCAGTTCAGCAACTCAGAGGCCTTCCAAGTTGCAAGCTACACAGCACCACTGAGCACCCTAAGAAGCGCCTTCCCATTCGCCATGGCTAAAGCCTGTTGCTCCCTCTTCTGCTCAGACATCTCGCACTATTTGCCTGCACAATGCTTAATGCTGGCAGCAGCCTTCCCATTTTAGTATTTTACTCTTCCAATCCCTCCTCTGTCCTGGAATCCTCTTTCCCGAGCGTGCTAACTTGCTCCTTTTCCTGCCTTTTCCTGACAGCTCCACCCGACCCTCTGTTCTCTTTAGAAGGGAACATAAAAAAGTAGGACAAAAATCATCTTTCACACCATACAAAAGAGTAATAAAGCAAGCTTTAGAACTAAAGCAATCCTAAAATAGAAGGCATGAACAAAAACAAACATAATGCCAAGGGTCTGTTTGCAGTAAAGGTGCAGAGCTTGTTGCGGATAGGGTAGTAGAGGAGATTAAATTGCTCTCTGAAGATTTGAAATAGGTGTCCTTGTGGCAGGAGATCATTTTCTTTTAAATACATTACAAATAATTTTAATCTTCTTAGAGGATCTCATTCCTTCTCTGGGAGCAGGGGTAGGAATCTAGTTTAAGTTCTCTCTACTTCAGGTTACAAATTTTATATTTTATATTTGTATTTTATTTGTTTATTTTTAAAAGGTTGATGGTCACCATGCAATGAAGTCTTTGCTGAAAAATACAGTCAGGGTGCACTCTTGTTAATTTGGTAGGATATGAAAATGGTTTCAAGATTAAATTTAAGGACAACAGAGGAAGTGACAGATAAAAAAAAAATTATAGTTACTTCTAAAGCAAAAGTAATTCAAATCTTTTTTGGAATGTTTTTGCACTAAGCCTTCACCTTTTCCCTAAACATGAAAACAAAAGGTCAACATTTTGATTTGAATCAAAATAATTTATTTGAGGTTCAACCACATAGCAGAGAAAGAGACTTCTCCATTTTTGCTATCCACATGAAAGAGACTGAAGATTTAAAGTAAAACAAATAAATACTAATCACAATAACAGCAAACCTCGCAGATCAACTACCTGAAAAGACAGAAGTGATCCTGTTTGCTTGAAATGAAGACTTTTATAACCACTACTAACGTACTTACCATATACAGAGTAAAGCCACACACATATTTGATACAGAAAGTGGTTATGATAAATTTGTGCCTTGCTCAAACACCACAAAGCTGATGTGCTCAAGCACCACAAGGATGCTTGAGCAGACCACCACCACAGCATGAAAACCTGAGGAGAAATAAAAATGCTCCTCCCTGTTCCACTCTAAATCCACAAAAATAACACAGTCACAGAGCAGCTTGGCTGTGTACATTTCAAAAAACACCCTCAGAAACTCTATGGCTAAGTTTTCTGAGCTGCCTGGCACTTAGGATCAGCCCAGGCTTAACTTCGATATTAGTGAATAAGGCTGGTTTTTTTTTTTTTTTTTTTTTTTTTTTTTTTTTTTTTTTTTTGTTGTTGGTTGGTTGTTTTGGGTTTGCGGTTTTTTTTTTCCTTTTCAGTGTAAGAGGATGAACATAAGGAACCTTCAAGGCTCAGCCTTCCAACAGTTGCAAGTTACAACCAGTTTTTCAAACTGTCGGTCTTAGAGAATATGGATTCTTTTCCAGTTCAAGGAGCTTGCACAGTGCAATGCCCTGCACCAACTGCATCTCTATTTATTCTTCCCCAGTGCATCTACCTTGCCAACTATAACAAAAGCAGCACAGCTCCAGATCATGCACATTTTAAGGAAGAAAAGCCTATTCATTTATCTAATCTGATCACATGCATACAACACAGGCTATTCACTCCTTGATTTTCCTCATGCTCTGTTCTATTCAGATGTTATTTACAACAATCACATTCATATTCAATTGCTCAAACATTCTCACTTCTCTTGAATTTCTTTAAAACCTTCCTCACCCACAAACCTCTACATTTTGAGTTTTGCTTTTTTTCTTTAATTCCAATCTATATATTCAGAATCCTCAATTCACACAACAAGTAAAAATATCTTTGTCTTACCCAGATTTTTATTTTAAGGCAACTTACATCAAGATTGATCTTGTTCCTAGTCACTTTTTGGTATCTTGCACACACTTTTTGACTTGTAGCATATTTTTAAGGGATTAAACAGGAAAATATAGAGAAGTCCTTTTTTTTTCATTTTTTTCATTTTTTTTAATTTGTATCATCCTGAAATATTGCCACCATTCAGTGTAGCATAGACCCAGTTTAAGCTCCACAACTTTAAGAACATACTTTTCACAAAAGACAGTTAAGCAATTTATTGAATTACCACCAAAACAACTGATACACTTTTTTGTTCTAAGTATTTTGAAATATGAACCAAAATTTACTATGAAACTCGTGCAGAATGCATAGACAGAAATATGTAAAACCTACCAAATATGTTGGTGGAATGTCCTTTCCTGGCAATTGGTTTGAGCTCATTATGTCCCCATCCATATTGTCTATAATTGTCCCAGGCATGCTTCATCATCTAGAAGATGGAAAAAGTAACATGTAAGTAACATATTACAAACTACATTGTACAAATAAAACATTTTATACCTCATTTGAGACTTTCTCATGTTCATTCCAGCATACCGATAATTGCTACCCCACTATTTCTGTACATTATAGAGTAAGATTTAATATGAATTAAATTAAAAGCATCAAGTCTATTTGATTTGTGTTGTAGGATGCTCTGCATTTCTGAAGTTCAGACGGGTGGGTGGTTTAACTTCATAGGTACACAGCCATTTAGGCACAGAAATCATTTAAATGCACTGGCTACAGCCTGAGGTGCTACCCAAAAGAAAATCTACCACTCTTCATCATAAAAGGTTATATATTTATATACATATACACACACACACACACACACACACACACTGATACATTAAAATATGACTAAGCAACTTATGAAAGACATAGTAAGTTTTTTTATGAGCAACAGCTACCTGACAAAACTACACCGTGGAACAGTCTCTACCAGAAAAAAATCTGGAACTTTCCTTCTTTGAAAAGTGTAACAAAGCTCTAGAAAATTCATTCACAGGCTAGAATAAATATACCATTTGTTTCATAAAACACTTCTCTAACCTAATAGATGTTTCCATCCCATAGTAAGCACAGTACTTCTGAAAAACAAAAGGTCCTGTTGTCCCACTAGGATGACTTGCACATGTCAGCCTTTAAGCTAACCTTTTACACATTTGTTAAAGCTTTTTAAGTTCCTTGATTGTTTGCATATGGTTGAAATTCAGCAGTGCTCAAATTGCAGGGTGTGCCATGCTGTAAGTACACAATTGCCCTTTAAAAGTCAAGTAAGGCTAGTTACCTAAAGAGATCAAAGTCAGTACAGAAAGAAATTTGATTCTAAAAAGCGTTGCTCCAGGCACAAGGAACAGCTAGGAACAAGCATATTTCAAACAAGAATTTGAAAATAACAGACATGTAGCTGTACCACAATATTTTGCATATTTTATTTTCCTATTTTGTATTAGAAAATATTAAAACTTTGTTAATATTAAAAAAACTCCAGAAGGTGCATGGAACTCAAATCACAAGCAAGATTTGCAAATGTAATTTCACAGATCTAGATTAACCCTTTAAGAAACTTGATTACAGAGCAAGTCAATGCTTCCTGAAGGTTGAAGGACTGTAGTTTTCTTACGTTAGTCAGTGTGTCATTGTACTCCTGGAAACCACAAGGAAACAAGCAGATGCCGACTACAAGGCCAAATGCAGTCCGTAACCTTAGCACGAACTAGCATAAAAGTGAGACAGCAGCTCTCTTCTCTTCCCGAGTTCAGGATTTATCAGAAGCTGGGTCATCACAAATCTTCAAATGGGAGTAGGTCATCCCAAATCTTCAAATCTTTCAAACCACACATAAGCTGCCTACTGAGGCATGCAACACAAAGAGTCCCCATCTACACGAAACCAACAAGAGATCCCTGTCCACCCTTCAGTTTTTGGTTTTGGTAGCATTTTTCTTGTTGCTTCTACAAGTCTGGAGGGAGTTAGAACTCGTGGCTAGACGACAACTTGACACACAACCAACACACACAGACTCTGAAGTCCTGTGCTAAACTTGCATCAACCTAGCCCCATATGTCCCTCTGCGCTACCCTATTTCCCACTCATACCACATGCCTCTCAAAGGCAGCCCATATGCTGCTTTTGGGAGCTATGCCAAAACACGTGCACGTCTCATTTGGCAATAATATTGCAATTTTCATGAATCTAAAATATACGAGAAACAAACAGGCATGCATTCTACTAAAAGAATAGAGGAGTCATTTCATTAGCATTCCTAACTTCCTTGGCACTTTCAAAGCATTCACCAGTTGACCAACTAACTGCCACGAAAACTTTAAGAGGACAAGACAACAATGGAGTACAATGATCCTCTTTTGACAGATAAAATTGCAGCCTGGCATAAGCTGTAAAATCCTGATCACAATTAGTACAGCACTTCCTTGGAGAGCTCTTACTAAAGCTATCCAGGCTCAGCCTACAAATAACTGAGCTTTTCTGTAGTTCATATAAAACTGTTTATTAACTTGAAATCATAGAATCAAAAGCTACAGCACCCTTCTGTCAGAAGGGACCTCAGGGTGTCTCTAGCCAACCTCTTGCTCAAAGCAGGGAGGGTGAAGAGATTGGGTCCACCCACCAAGCATGGAGCAGTCAAGGTCTTCCTGGGCCAGTCCTCTCCAGCCAAAGCATGCAGGTCCACCTTTAAGACCTACAAACTCTGTCCTGGAAAACAGATCTGTACTATTAAAAGGCACATGAAGATGAACCTAAAAAGTTACTCACTGTATCTGCATGTAATAAACAGATGGAGGCCTAAACAGCAAGATGACCATAACAGAGCAAATCTAACCAATCTGCTTCTGCACAGAGAAGAGAGCTTCTAAGGGTTTTTTTTGAATGCATCAATACAATATTTCATGAAGAGAATCAAATGACAATAGACATTTTGGCTTCTTATGAGTCTCAAAGTGTACACAAACATCATTATAGATCAGAAATTATATCAGGTCAAAAGATTTAAGAGCAATAAATTATTTTCTTATGGTAGAATGTTACCCATAGACTATTTCAACGTTCAGTTTGCTATGCTGTGGCAGAGTGGGGAGTGAAGTAGGTGGAGATTTAGTTACGTAATATTTAGCTCAGAAAATCCAAGAAAGTGTTGAAATTTACAGAAGGACTGAAATAGTACAAACCACTGCCCCAAGAGTTTTTATAGATATAAAATCCCAATATGAAATCTGGTGATTAGAGGGAAAAAAAAAATGAATTGATTTCACCGGATGCATTAATTAATGTAGAAGCAACAAGAAAAATGCTACCAAAACCAAAAACTGAAGGAATAGTTGCCTTCATCTCCTAAGGTTCTTAGCTAGGAAATTACACTTTAAGGATAACTTCAAAGAAAAACACGGTGCAAAGGAATGGTGTTATTATAATAATGACTCTCAGTTTCAGATGAATATTGCATTTTGATTTTAGCATGCAGCTACACCAGGAGAGCAAAGACTTGAAGATATTATGTTAGTAGATAACTGCCCATGACCTGCAAGTGAGAAAGCCAACAACGCTTGTATACAATATTATACTTCGTAGGAGTGATATGCCCAAAGCTCTCATAACAACAGGAGACGTCGGCTACTAATGGAAGGGGTAGCAGGACATGCCACAGATACAATAGCAAAACTATTGAGAACAGTGGTACAAATTTAAAGGAGGAAAATACCCTGTCAGATACAAACCTGGCAGAGGACATCGCTTTGGTTCAGGAAGCATCAACACAATGAACTCCTGAACTGAAAAGCAAGATCTCTAAATACAGTTGCAGTTGTAGGAAAAAAAGTTACAGATTCTTGCCTTTTAAAAGGCAAGTGAAGTCTGGCTCTGACTGCAACCCCAGCGCTGATAGGAACAGCAGGAAGGTGAGAATGGTCACAAAAGGGAAACGACAAACTAACAAGTCACACACAATGCAGCCACTATAGAGTCAATTTAAGCTTAATAATGTGAAAATAGTTATTTGGTCAAAACACAAATCAGTAAATCAGAAAAGGGCATGGCAGAGATTTTGCTGAAATGTCTGTTCTAAAGTAATTTGCTACGTGGGTGCCTGGGAGTTTGACAGCATCAGATGAAGAACTTTGGTTTGCCCACCACAGCACACTCCTTTTTACCAACAAACTTCTTTCTATTAATTCCAGATGACAGATCTTGCTTTTGACAGAAAAATGGTTTATGTGAAATAGTTTCACTAAGCATCTGTCTGCAGAATGTTTATTATGGGATGTGTCCAAAAATATGAGGCAGCAAAATGCATGTGCACTGTAATAATTCTAGAAAAAACAGATCTGGAATCTGCTGTGATAGAGCTAGAACGCAGGGCATGTCCTTGAAAAAAAATTGCTTTTGTAGGAATACTGCATCTAGATGGCTTTACAATTATAGAACCTGTGTGCCTTGTTCACAGGGGATCTGATCCGCTGTGATTGCTGGGAAATCATAGCTTTATGATGACATCTTCTAAATTAAATCATGGCTATAGCAAGAAAAAGAGAAGCTGCTCCTAACATACAGTGATTGAGAAAAAAAAGATTTTTGTAAGGTCCATCACCGCAGCAACAGCTGATTTAGTGTTTCCAAAACCCCTTTCCACTCTCCCCAAAAGGACAGACAGCTAATAAACATAAAATCAGGGTCCTGCGCAGTTAGCAAAGTAAATTTCTGGGCAAATAGCCCCCAAATGGCTGCAATCTGGAAGTATCCTTTTATTGCTCTTCATTTCAAATGTGTATAACAGACAGCAAGACTGCAAACAGCTTTTGTTTTCACAGGAAACTATTCAGGTTAAGAGATCGTGTAAACTTCCTTCGATTTCTCTTTTTAAATTAACCTAGGATTTGCCAGAAAAGATTATTGCTTAATTGGCAGATAAAAAAAAATGTGTAACTGCTTTCCTCCTGCCTGCAGATAACGCTTTTTGGAAGTTAAAGAAGGATCTTTTCCTTATATAGCCACTCTGATTTTTGCAGAAAACTAGAAAACTCTTAGATATTGTTTCTTAGATATTGTTTTATACCCCTAAGAGCTACAAATCTCTACCTAAAGACAAATTATTTTGGATATCTCTACATTTTTCCCTCTGACATTTTCTTCTAAATTTTCTATTTCCAAAGTTTGTTGGTGATATGCTCCAAATACACCTGCAAAGCTAAGTATTCTTCATTTTATTAATGAATTTATTAACAAATCCATTGTTAAAGACTAAAATGTATATCAATACAAATGGAAAACCTTTTCTTTTTGCATGCACAAAAGACTAAGGGGTTTGACGAAACTAAGGGACAAATATTTCCAGTTTGTGAAAACTGAAGTGGAAGTAAATGGTCTGAGCCCGGAGACCTTTAAGTAGTGAACTGGCTACTTCAAGTTATATAAGAAAGCTTCTGCACACAT